CTGTTATATCCTCCAATGCTTTACCTACTACTTAAGTAAAAAATGTTATTGTTCCACCTTATAACATATATATACAGATGTTATTATGTATAGTAACCCTATCATTACGTATCACTCTTTCTCGCCCGAAAGATTCACGCTTCATGGTAATATGGCTAACACTTCATGGTAGGCCTACTGTACTGTACATGAAGATCACTGACCGTGCGTTTATTTTTTAATTTACCTTAGGTTGTAGGGGAAATTAGTACTAAGAATCTCTCGCTCTCCTGGATTGTTCTCTTGAATATTGACACAGTTTCTTTTATTCTATCACCCAGTTGTATCCATCCAAAACATAATTATTATTAAAAAAATATTGCAACATTTATATTAGGTACTTTATTAAAGTCAAAAATAAAAAAAAAGGGTACTTAATTATTTTTTTATATTAATTTGTATATTAATATAATTTGAATTAAATCTCAGTTGATCTCACACTGAATATGACGAGTCTATGTATTATTTCCTTGGTTAGTTTAAGAGGCTCAGAATACAGAACAATCTGTATTCTGAGTTAAGAGGGTATCTTTTTCGGTACAGACAAAACGTCTCCAGATTAAAATTGGCATGGAACGACGCATGCGCCGTGCGAGGTCCTTTACTTTTAAATTACCTGTGACGCACTAGTAACTCCTTTTGTTATTATCAGTTTTTACTTACCATAATGCTTCGGCACGAATGGGTCGGTTCGACCGAAGCGATACCACGGCGTTGTTTCGCCATGTGAGTGAGGTTACCGGAGTCCCAATCCTTCCCCTTCCCCAAAATTAAATGCCTAATCACTAAAAGGTCGGCAACGCACTCGTAACTCCTCCGTTGCAGGTGTTCATGGGCGGCGCTGATTGCTTACCATCAGGTAATCCGTCTGCTCGTTTGCCGACCTATTACATAAAAAAAATAAGTTAATCCGTCTGCTCGTTTGCTCGTCTTCCAGTTATGCTATAACAACAAGATATAATCAACATATTAACACTTATGAACAACGTTATAATACTTAATAGGGTAAACTTGCTTAATTCGTACCATTTAAGGAAAACCTCAAAATTTTTGGAAATGAACAAAGATACACAGTAATTTATATTAACTAGATTTGGGTCTGTTCAACCGAAACACGTTGTGGGTCTATCAATATCTATTAAAGAACTAAACCACATCTATTTATAGGCCCTGATACTAAAACAACATAAAAACTATCTGTTAAAGAAAAATAATAAATATCCTTTATTATCTCCTGACAAAGCTATTCTATTAATAGCACTTTGTTGAACACAACAAGATTCATTAACGCAGTGAATATGTCTCGGAATTCTTCAACAAAAACAAAAGTGACATGACATTTCTTTACGTATATACATATATGTAAGTACCTTTTTGTATGCGATAGGTCGGCTATCGAGCAGACGGATTACCTGATGGTAAGCAATCGGCCCATGGACACTCGTAAGACCAGAGGAGTTACGATTGCGTTGCCGGGCTTTTGGCGATTAGGATTCGTTGATATAGGGGTTTGAGAGGGACGGAGAGAAGCGTAGGATTAGGTCTCCGATAACCTCACTCATACGGTGAAACACAACTCTCAAAACGGTCGCGTCGATCCACTAAACCGACCCGTATAATTCTGGAGGCTTATTGGGTAGTTTCCTAGGTCAAAAATAAATTAATTCGACGTTTCAATACAATAAAATATTGAAAAATAACTATACTTTTATTCATCGACCCATCGATACAATAAATTTTAGATATATTATGTATTTACGAATTTTTAAGTACCTAATAAGTAAGCTTGAATTTGACTCTTAAATCTTCAATTTTTTAAGAAATAAGTAAGCTTGAATTTGACTCTTAAATACGATGACGTCATAACTCAGCGTTTCATAAAAACATAGAAAAATATCGTGTTTGACATTTGGATAAAAGTATTAAATTTGACTAGTTGAGTTGTTTGAATGTAACTACCGTATTCTTAATGTGACCGGGGTCAGATATTTCTAGGTAAAAAATATTCCCTATATCCTATATGAAAGTGTCCGTTAAGCCAAAACTAACTTAATCATACATTTTGAAAGTGTATTCCTTTTTTATTTTTGTATTAAGTTAGTTAGAATAATATTCTCAGTATAACAATGCTTTTGATAAAGTAATCAAAAGTCCGTATGTATGTGAAGTGGACTTTAAAGCGTGACTAATATTTAAATGAACAAAGGACTGTTGCGTATGCTAAGCTGGGTATTAATATTCAGTGTACATCACATATGAACTTAAGTAGCGATGTACAGAATCCTTTAATACAAAAATACAAGCGAATAGGAAGAAGGAAGGATAGACTGTGCTGTGTGCACGTGGCAGGATATAGATATGTATACTATGTTGTGAAAAATAGTCTTTATTACATTGACTTAAGTTACGCAAGCGTGGCTTTGTGTGGGAAATATTTGTATGTGAATGAGCTTAGTAATGCATTTTATCACTATACTATATATAGTGTGAAACAAAGACGCTTTCTCTGTTCTGTCGGTTTTTTATGGTATAACTCGGCAAACGAGCAGACGGATTATCTGATGGTAAGCAATCGTCGCCGCCCATGGACACTCACAACAACAAAGGAGTTACGAATGCGTTGCCGGCCTTTTGGGGATAGGGCTTGCGGATATAAGGATCGGGAAGGTACAGGGGAAGGGGCGGGATTGGGCCTCCGGTAACCTCACTCACATGGCAAAACACAACGCTGTGGTTGTTTCACGCCGGAATTCTGTGAGGTCGTGGTATCACTCCGGTCGAGCCGACTCATTCGTGCCGAAGCTTGGCTCTCCCACACTATGTCCCCATTTATGCATTTATTATTTATCTTTGAAACTACGCAACGGATTTTGATGCGGTTTTTTTACTGGAAAGAGCGATTAAAGAGGAAGGTTTATGTATATAATAACATCCATTAAATAGTAGAGAAATTTTGTATCTGCTTTGCAGCTGTGCGAAGCCGAGGCGGGTCTCTAGTGTGTAATGTAATGTGACGCTAAGGATATATAGGATTGCATGGTTGGCGCAGAGGTTAAGCAACTCTTGAGCAACATGTGGCTAGATTCTTGTGATCTATATATCGGTTAGGTGAAGTAAGACTTATGTCTATGTATGTTTGAAAATAGAGAAAGTATACAGAGGATTAAATCTTAGTGTATGTTAAATAAAAGTGTAAAGCTTATTGAGAGAAAAGAAGAGAAAACAACTTTAAATGCAAAAACAAACCCAAGTTCTATTAATATGTGTTAAGGCTGATTTTCAATAGTCACATAAATGTTATCTGAGGAATAAAATTGTTGCTGTCACTGTCTTATACAAACATTCTGAAGCGACAGCATCATAATTATTCCCCAGGTAACTTTTATCTTACCATTGAAAAATCAGCCCTTAGTGAAATTGTATGTTAGTTAACGCCAAAAATGCGACGTTTTTTTAAAAAAATATTATAAATATTTTGTCTATTATGAGCAAAAAATGCAAAGACTTTAAAAAATCTTTCACAGTTTCTTTCTACAATTCAATAACAAACATCCACGTGCACTCATTAATTATTATTATCTCAGTACATAAATTGTGAAGCCATCTTCCTCTATAAAACAACCTGCAATAAAATACAAAGTGATTCCTAAGTTGCATCAAGTGCACGCAATCTGCAAGTTGAGAATAAATGAGAAAAAAACCGGTCATTTTCAAGGAGATAACACCTATGTTTTACCTGCTAAGTAAAGTTGTTAGAGACATAAGTATTTTACATTTTTTTACACATTTAGTGAAGTTCACTATTACCACAGGAATTATTCTTTACTTCCTAGAACTGAACATATATTTTCATATGATAGGGCCTACCTAAGGATAGAGCTATCAAAGGTGTATAGCTCCATCCCTCTTTCTCATCTTATAGTAAGCTTTCGGCATCGCCCATGGACGCCAAAAGCACCAGGATTTAAAAGTGCGTTATCGGTTATCAGGGGATTAGGGATTCCATTTTTAAAAAGACATGACAAATAACGTATTGGCTGTTAGCTAAGCTATTATTGGTGGAGACAGAATCGATGAATTGATTCTGATATCCCTTTCAAACTAGGCTCCCTGATGTTACTGATAAAGCCAGGCAAGGCAATGATGAAGTTATTCCACACACAATTGTAGGATTACAAACCTGTCATAACTATCAATTACGTAATAACATAATCATATCTAGTCAAGAATATAAACAGACCAAGATACTTTGAGGGGTTTGAAAATATCAAACACGGGTCCTTCCTAAGATGTCGTAAAATCTCGTCACAAAGACATAATAAATATTAATTATATATTCAAGTATAAAGATTTGAGATTTTTTGCACGGGTAGGTCTGTGAACTGTATAAAAACTCGACCTCTAAGCAACAACAAGTTATAATAACTTAATACTCTGTAATTACTTAAATTCTTAAGGTTGTTCGCTTGGTTTATCTCATATTTTAATATCGTTACAATATTCATTATCAAGTTTGAAAAAACTGAGGTAGTTTAATAGTGAAGACTGGGCTGAGTATTTCTGGGATATGGTTGAGAAAGATGAGGAAATTGGATACCATTTAGGGATGCTTAGTCAAACAGCGCTACCAATCTTTATACTGCATAGTCCGATGATAAGATTTTTAAATTTTAAAATCTAGTAGTTTATGAAGGCGCGGCGTGTTGCGCGAACGTGCGTTTGTCGTTCATTGAAGCAAAGGACCGTATCGTTGCCCCCGCAAACTCAAATAAATGAGCAATGTACAACGTACACATGACGCGCGGTGCAACGCGCGACGTCTGCGTAAATGAGGTTTTAATGATATCTAATGTTAGAAAAAAATAAGTTTTGTTTTATTTTGTTTACCTACCCAAAAACAAAGAGTTCGATAATTTTTTCTTGTCATTTGCCCTTTATTGACTAATCTTTTTTTCTCGCAGATGTGAAGACAATTCTCAAGTCGGTCTCTGGCCGACTTCGGTCAGGTGAGCTGACGGCCATAATGGGACCTTCAGGCGCTGGAAAATCCACACTCCTCAATATCCTTACAGGATACAAGTAAGTAGATGAATTACTATTGCTTGAAGTCAAGCCAATTCTGTACCAGATTTGTAAAGTTGGCTTGGAGGTGTTGGCTAAGGTGTTCTGTGGTTTTGTTATTCGATATCTTACTTGGCAAGTTAGGTGTCGTGGTGGCCTGGAGGTTAAGGAGCCCGCTTCTCATGCATGAGGGTGTGGGTTCGAAACCTGGCAAGTACCAATGTGACTTTTTCAGAGTTATATGTACTTTCTATGATTATTTAGACACCACTGACATACGGTGAAGGTAAACATCGTGAGGAAACCTGGACTTATAATTTCTAATTATAAGTTTGAAATCGCCAACCCGCATTGAGCAAGCGTGGTGATTAATGCTCAAAACCTTCTCCGTGCGAGAAGAGGCCTTTGCTCAGCAGTGGGCACTTATAGGCTGATGATGATGACTTGGCAAGTTTAGGGGTATCAAGGAGTGTTCGTCTAGGGTTGCTTGACAAGTTTCTATACATTTCCATAAACATAATAACAGTACTCAGTAATACTTGGAACTCTTACGTCACTTGCGTAAGGTTTCCTCAGAAGTTTTACATTTGATAAAGAATCACATATACTAGTGGTTTAGAAATATACAGTAAATGTAAATTGCATGGTAGTGAGTGACAAATTGATTAAAAGGCAGATAGTTGTTTCAAATCGATTGCAAAGCTAATTTTACGATGGAATCACATTTCAAAATGGCGGTGCTTGTAAATTTATATCGGTTTTATAGAACCATTTGCAGTCAGATGCGATTATACGCTTAACTCTAAGGAATATAGACACGGTAATGCTATCTATAAGTTTTACTGTGATATATATGTAACTGTGTGCAGATAACATTTTAAACTAGGATATTATTATACAATTAGTATGTGGAATCCAAATTTCAGTGTCAAAAATCAAATGAAGCTAAACGAATTATAAATATTCCGGTTTGCTTTGACGCTAGCGTAGAAATCGCATTTGTGTATATGACGTACTTACCTATCTAGTTTTATTTGCATAATAATATATCTATCTCAGCGTCTATTCAATTCTGAATTTTGCAAATTTGCTCGATCATCAACCTTATGTGTTGATTATAAAGAATAGAGAAGATTGGCAATTATTGACATTAATTGGTCACTGTCATTCCCGTAGTTTTATTGTGACTATTCTAAAGTCATGTAATTTCCCAACTTACATAATTTGTACCTAATAATTCTTATGTACTTATTCATATGCCTATTATGTACATTTGTGATCTCCTAGTTGTATCGTTTCTACTACACATGTCGGCTTGCGACATTCGTTATGCAATTTCAACGCGTTCGCAAACTATGACACACATACTCGTAGATGGTAAAATTTTCTGCCACGTAAACGAATTTTGCTCAAGTTTGCTTATTTATCGATCTGTTTGTCATTTGTTTAATCGACATTTTAAGGTTTGATTTCTTATTATATTGGTAAGTAGCGACGCGCCCCGGCTACGCACGGTTGCAATGTTGATACTAAATAACTCCTTTATTTGATGAATGTTAATATACACTTATGCGTTCCTCTTCAATCATTCTTTCTATTAAAAAAAAAACATCAATATCCGCTGCAACATAGGGATATAGAAGGGCCAGAGAAAGCGACTCTGTTTTATACTATGTAGTGATTTATTTGGGTTTTAACAAAAGTGTTTTACCCACATTTTCAGCAGCCCTTCCAGCGGTGTGGTAAGAGTTGATTAAGGGGCTGCGCATTTGAACAAGGACTTCTTTATGGCGGTTTTCAACCCGACTGCTAACTATGGGGATCACCAAATGCCTTTTCCGGTCCTGGGTTGTCCTTGACGTAGTGTCATTTCTCATTGCACTTGCTGCCGCAATCCTGTTTTTACTCAAACGGGACCAATAGTTCAGCATCAATATAGTATATGTATCTTGATCAATAATCTTATAAATGTGCAAAGATAATTTCCCAGTCCCATAAATCTTCTAAGCCATTCACATAAAACTGACAACACAAGTCTCATTGTTTTTAATTACCGAGAAACTAGATACTTGATGTAATTCTTTTTAATTTATGCCTTGATATGATCACGTGTATTTCACAACACTAATCCTTCAGTCTCGATCGGCGCCATTTTTTTACTACGAACAGATTAAAAAACATGTCTTTTGTAGCTTTTATTGTGTAGTCTTGATGCGTCATTTAAATTTTATATTTAGTGACATGTTGGATGTCTCAATGTTATTGTACTTTGGAACGTGACAAAGGGTTTGTAAACAAAATTGTGTTGAGTGAATATTGAGATTTTTATATACAAAGTACTAACACTTTTTTTTTGTTGCTGGCTTCGTTATCTTACTACACTTTTGCATTGGTAATACATTTGTTGTTGAGAGTGGTTTATTATTATTTTCATCGTGTATTTTTGAATAAGGAATTCTATCTATTTGTGTAGTTGCGATACCAGTTAGTAATATTATTTTGTATATTTAATTATTTAGGTAGGTACTTTAATATTTATATTATATTAAACATTCAATTAAAATTGAAAAACAATACTTAATATTATTATAGAACCGCTGCTTTAACCGTAGCGTGATGTTTTATAGCCTATAGCACTCAAGAATATTGTAGCTAGCTATCAGTGAAAGAATTTAGGATCCGACCAGCGGTTCCAAAGATTACCCTCTACATACAAACTTACAAATAGGTATACATAATTTATATACAATAGTTAAGTTATATAGGTAAATAGTATAGTATACATAGATGTTGGAAAAATTAGGGATCATTCTTGTCTGTGGATTGATGCCCATATAGAAATAAATGTAAACCAGTGGTTCTCAGAGCGGAAGACATATTTGAATAGATTTAATTTAGTTATTGATTTATCTAAACTCGAGATTATAGGAAAACTTCTTATATAAGGGGAAACCTATACTTGTACTAGCAAGTACAGTTATAGATGCCAATATCAGAGCATTAATTGCTCACGTAGACATTTAATGTGGTTTTTAATTAACAACCGTTAGTTAATTGCTTTTAAACAACCTTTTATTACATACCTAATGGCAAACGTTCCTCTCCATTAACTAAAAACAATGGCAATTGACAACTTTTCAATATTATTGTTTAGCATTTATTGATTATTTTAGTGTTTCTCGTAAAATTCTTATGTCTATGCATTAAGGTTGTTATTACTATGAATTACGACACCTGCGCTTAAAGGAAGACCCGTCTAGCGTCTAACACCCTTTTGCAGTTCACAAATAATTCTAAGTTTTCATAATTTCAGTCTTATTTTCGTAAAAACAAAGGTAAAAATTCCTTGCATTCGGATTATGTATGTTAAAAGAACACCCTTTTGCAGTTTACAAATAATTGAAAGTTTTATTAATTTCAGTCTTATCGTGATTAGAATAAAGGTGAAAATTAATTGTATCAAGATCATGTAAGTATAGTAATATAACTAATCCGTAGAACAAAACAATATTGTTTTCATCATCAAACCGGACTCGGTTATCAAAGCCAAGTAGTAAAGTGGGTCGAGCGTCCGAGCGCGGCCATTTACGCAGTACTATGTGTATGTATGTAAGTATGTATGTATGTACTGCAAACATTTTTATATGTACCTACCTACATAATATAAGAAAATCAGGCTTATGTATTAAGCGTACGATTCGTTCCTGTGACGTCATCAGTGCTGTTCACTCTTTTCCTGCTTTCGTCTAAGTGGGCACAATATGTATTAATGGACTTAACAAAATATATTTTTGTAAAGAATTTGGCGGTATATAACTACACTACAACAACTGACTGACAACTGAAACTTGAGGCGGAAATCTATACTCTATACTCATGTTATAAAGAGGAAAGATTTATTTTTTATAATAACTATCGTGAGACATACTAAATTAACTATAATTCGCGGGTTACTCACGAGTAAATGTTGAGAAAAGCTCTACTAGTTTCGAACCACAGAGGGGTTCTTCCTCATGAGCAGCGTGCGCGGACGCGGCGACGTCGCCGCGTCCGCGCATTTTTGAGTTTTGAGTAACCCGCGAATTTTAGTTAATAAGGAAAGATTTAATTGTTTGTTTGTTAGTTAGTATTGAATAGGTTTCGAAAATATTCGAAACACGTGCAAACAAATGCTACACGGTTACGCGCTACGCGAATAAAAACGCGGGATAAAGCTAGTCTTATAATATGAAAGTTTTTAAATGAAAAGGAGCTTATGTGGTAGGCTAGATCATACTATTTTTTTTTATTTAAAAAAAAACGTTGCCCCGTATTAGGATTTTCTCCTGTGTCGTGGGTGCGTTTACAAACGTACAATGTCACATGCACATCACACCCAGACCCGGAACAACAATCTGTGGATCACACAAACAGTTGTTCCGTGCGGGAATCGAACCCGCGACGTTGCGCGGCAGCCAGTTGCCTAGCCACCGCGCCAACCGTGCAGTCAAAATTACACGTAGATGTCTTGAGACAGCTGTCCAAAGGGTTCATAGTCGTTTTCAAACAAAAGTTTGTAATATGCATCGTTTCGCTACTCAAACCAGTCGATTTTTCTTCATCTACCAACGTATCTTAATTTTCGCAATTTTATCAGTAAATACTACAAACCGCAACTACGTTGATGAGTGTTGAGCGTAGCCATGAATGTTGAATTTGGTTTCTGAAGAATAACTGTAAATAGGAAGATGAAAACGAACTACCTATATTGCATTTCAAATATTTTTGAGAAAGGGGGTAAAAATGAAACGCTGTGGTTGTTTCACGTCCGTTTTCTGCGAGGCCGCGGTATCACTCCGGCCGAGCAGACCTATTCGTGCCGAAGCATGACTCTCCCACATTGAAATAAATATGTCGGAGTGAGACTAAAACACTTAGTTTTACTAACATATCGAAGTACAAAACTCTGAGTTCGTTATTAATATAAATACCATTTGATCATTCGAGTAGTGATGGTCATTGCACCAGAACAAATTTTCGAATGGAGACCACGTTCTTCGCAGCGCAGGACGACCACCCACAAGGAGGACGGACGACCCAATAAAGGTCGCTTGGAACCGCTAGATGCAGGTAGCTTCCAATCGGCCTATCTAGAAGTCATGTCAGGGATGTCAGTCATATAGGGAAGGCCTATTTTCAGCAGCGATGTCTTATGGATCATATGGTGATGATGATCATCATCGTAAATTAGAAAGACCGAGTACGTACATGGGATATCTGATGTCTAGTTTTGTTCATTTCTTAATCAAATAAGAAAGACGAGACCAGGTTTTTAATCTCATCGCGAAGAATTTAGAACAAATAAATGCTCCCATTTATATTATTGGAAACGGTACCGTTCTAGTTTTGTTTTAGGCCCAAAAACTTTTGTGTTTCATTAGCAAAATCTAATAATAAATATCTTAAATAAATCAACTTTAAGAATAGCATGTTAGACCAGTCTTAGTTTTTAGGATCAACTATAAACACGTTTAGTAATGGCGCCGGAATATTTTCCTGTCAATTGACGTCACATGTCATAGAGTCGGTGTTTTTACTTTTTTTGTGTTATATCCAAGGCTTTTTGTAATTATATCTAGTTGGACCACTATCTTAACTTGAGATTAATAAAAAAAGTTAAAGTTGACACCTATATCACGATGTGTTAATTCCTGTATAATAAAAATCCATTAATTAATTGATGTCAACACATATCTTAAGTAAGGCTAAGAATGAATTAAGTAAATCCGACCACCTGTCAATTGAATTGAACATCATATTCAGTGCAGCAGTTTCGCAGTAAAAGCTTGACATATAAACGAACAGCTACCTAACTTCGCACTTAGAATGTTAGTTCATATATACTTCTTACTGACTTATGATTCTACGCAGATTTGATTGTAAAAACTTTAAGTGAAGGAGTTTGAAGGAAAGTTCGCACTAGTCACTTGACACACTTGCGCAGTGCAGCGAAAGAAAGTTGCTACCTTGGTAGGTAAGGCAATCTTCCAAGTAGAACGGATTATATTGCATTATATGACATATATTATTATTTATGCTGTTTGCAGATAACATAACACTAGAATATTCACAATACCATCTGTACTGTGTTACCAAAAGAAAAACCATTGATGATGTTGCCTATTTTGATTGATGATAATTATATTATTCATGATACAAAAAGAAGTAAATATTGTGAAAAATAATCAAGAAACTATAAAAATAGTTTTGTAGGAAGTAAAAATAAAGTCTAAAGTTTATTTAGAGTAGTACCTAACTATAGTAAATATTGAAAGTAATTCATAGTGGTTTGATGTTCGTCTTTATTAACGAGAATCTGAATATTATCAGTGAGATAGAAAAATAGAAGCAATTCATTATTTTATTAAATATGGGTAATCACAAAATTTTTGATTGTGCTTCATTTAAACCCTAATGATAAACAAAAGAGTCGATTCACAAAATGGCCGCCGATTTTGCAACTTTTCGCGCCATTTCTACTTCAAAGTCACATAAAAAGTTGCAAGGCTTACCATACACCGAATGTTTACGTAGACTCCAATGTTATTGACAATTTCGACATCGAAGGCAAACAAAATAGTTACAAATATTTACATTGTATTAATTCTTTTTCGTAAAATATTCAACACAATAGTCTTTGTAATTCTGTTTATGGCGGTATGTAAGGACGACTACTTTTCGTGACACAATTTTTTTTATGCATTCAAGAAAGCAAAATGGATTATCTTAAATAGTATAATTACCAACCAATCAAATTCAAAACATTTTTCCGTATTTTCGAAAACGAAAATTGTCTATGATTTTTGTATGATCGGTATGTCTATTGTCGGTCCACCCACTGCCACTTCACACACTGTCCGTAACTCAGTACACTAGGTTTGCCTAGATGTAGTCTCCACTCCAGAACATGTCTACCACAACGGTCATCGGTTCTTTGAGAAATATTATGACCTGTCCAGCTGTCCACTGCCACTTAAGTTTCTTAATCCTTGGGGCTATATCGACAACAGTAAAAAAAACTATCACTATAATTTTATTCGAAGCCCTATTTTATTTCCATTCTGTTTTATTTTGCTGGTTGGTTTCATGTCCTAGTTTACCGATGTATTCATTAATAATTAGTTTCCATCGATTAGATAATTTGTTGTATCGTATAGGTAGGTACAGACTAAGGCCACTGGGTGATCATGTCAATGTCGGGTCTTATTATTAATTATATCGCAGTTATTTTCCAACATAAATGCGAATCGACATCCATATTTAATCATAGATATAACACCTACAGTATAAGCGAAATGAAAAAGCTGTTACGGTCCTGTTTTAATGGATCAATGCTTACTCACAATATATGACTCAAAAAATCTCTCAATAATCCATCTATGTACTTTATTTAGAGTACGGAAGATAAGTATCCGATTGATTATACGCGTGAGTAACAGTACCAATATAGATAGCATACCATTTCCCGATAATATTTTGATAGTATCTCTAAATATTTATTAGTCATACAACCATTACTCTCAAATTGTCAGGCAAAAATACTTAGATCGGGTTTCTAAAATCATTTTGATTCGGCGTTAATTGACGTAGTAGTCAGACGGGAAATCGGCCCTTTCTCTGTCCCTATAACTCTATGTATGCTTAAATCTTTAAAACTACGCAATGGATATTGATGCGTTTTTTTAATAGATGGAAGAGAAAGGTTTATATGTATATTAGCGTCCATTGAATAGAGGAGAAAATTAGTATCAGCATTGCTCCCGTGCAAAAGCGGGGCGGGTTTTTAGATAATTTATGGCCAGTCACTACAATATTTTACTACGTACCTAGTTCGATGATTAAGAGGGTGAATTACCTTATTGACAGAGTACTATTTTGAATATTCCTTGTGGCTATTCAGTAGTATAGTGGTTAAACAATTACTACCATAGTCCCACATTTTGTAGAATTATGCAATGCGTATAAATATGCAGAGTATTTAAAGTAAATTCAATGAATTATTTATCTATTGCAATAGAATATAGGTATTGTATTAGTTTGTTTGAATTTCTTTCATGTTTACTTGTATTTGCTGTCTCATCTTGTGGCACTTCAAAGAGTCACGGAAGTGCCTCCCATATCGGTACGGGAATGTAGCAAATACAACACAGTTAGAGCTTGGACAGGAGAAGTAAGAAAGTTATTAACGTGGTGTTGCGCGGACAATTTTGTTTTGACAATACGAACCCTAATTATGATATAGCTTGGGCAAAATTCTTCTTCTTGAAAATGTTTTTAATGGACTGTATTTACCCTTGACTAATATCCAATTTATCTTTCTCAGGACATCTGGTATGGAAGGCAGCATTACAGTGAATGGTATGGAGCGTAACCTGTCAAGTTTCCGTAAGCTGTCCTGCTACATCATGCAGGACAATCAGCTCCATGGTAACCTGACTGTGGAGGAGGCCATGGCTGTAGCTACTGCTTTGAAGCTGCCCAGTGCTACTACAAGCGCTGACAAGGAGGAAGTGGTATGTGGAAATGATTATTTGAAACTACTGTTGCGAAAGAAATGGTCTACTAATTTTACTTCACAACAGTATTTACTTAAAGCTTTAAGAAGTTGATGATTCCAAAACCGAATTATTGCTATCCAGAGGCTCTTAGTATACATTAATTAATTCAATTCGACTAAAAAAAGTCCTCAATACCATTACTCGATTTTGTGCTTATCAAGAAGACTGCTTGCTGCTTATCGAGAACTGCACATGTCCATTTTCTCATGAAATTTATATTTCCAGATCCACGAAATCCTGGAAACCCTTGGTCTGTCAGAGCATCACAAGACTATGACATCGAATCTCTCAGGAGGTCAGAAGAAACGACTCTCGATCGCCTTGGAGTTGGTCAACAATCCTCCTATAATGTTCTTTGACGAGCCCACTTCGGGTCTGGACAGCTCTTCCTGCTTCCAATGTATATCTCTCCTGAAGACCTTGGCTAGGGGTGGCAGGACTATCATCTGTACTATCCATCAGCCTTCTGCAAGATTGTTCGAGATGTTCGACCACTTGTACACGTTGGCGGATGGACAGTGCGTCTACCAGGGAAGCACAGGAAGACTTGGTAAGTTTACTTGTTTTTGACTAAGGAAAATTAGAAAGGAATGTTTTTAGTGGAAGGTTTTTTCCTTACATCGTTAATCTCGAATATTTGCGTATGATTTTCCTACAAGTATACGCAAAGTTATGAGTTTACGAGCTATGAGTCAATACCTGTTACATACATTTATCATTGTTTAGTATCGCAATCAGATAACAATAAATCTCCCACAGGTGTTACTTCAATACTAGACGATGACTAACTTCTATTTCTATAAACTATAATACACCTGTTTTCTAACCTGAAACCTGTTAATGAATATTTTTCATAACTTGGTGGCGCTAGTGTAGTTAATAAGACAATTGGGTGTTTTTATTAGTCAAAAATAAATTGTTTTAACTTTTTAGGACAATAAAATGTTTAAAAAGATTTTATTTTCATTCATTGATTTTATAATATACTTAATGTCATACTTATTCTTCTAAAATACCGATTTACCTAGTATTAATTTTGACTTTACTTTAAAAATGACTGCCAAAATGTGGCCCAGCGTCACTGATGGAAAAGTTTTGACATTTTTACATTATTTTTATACCTACCATAAATAGACTAACAGGGCCTTATACTTGTACTCATTTGAGTCATCTAAAAAGTTAAAATATATAAAACAAAAGTCTATTATAATTACTTAGTGACTTTATTAAGGCTCTTTTGAATACAAACAGATAATTACAAACTAATAATAATAATGTTTTTCTTTGCAACAGTTGAATGGCTCGGCAGTTTGAGCTTGCAGTGTCCGTCCTACCACAATCCGGCTTCTTTCATCATTGAAGTGTCCTGCGGCGAGTACGGAGACAATACTGGCAAGCTGGTTCGGGCTATTGATAACGGAAAGAATGACATCAGGTGAGCTGGAAAAAAGACTTATTTTCACAGGATAATAGATTGTTTGATGTTGTCTGACGGTATGCGATCAGCGCCGTCTGTAGATACCCTCTCTAACTCAAAAAGGTCACAAGTGCATTGCCCTCCTTTTGTGCGTGCCTCCTTTTCTATGGTCAAGCGCAATGATGTACCCCAGTCCCGGCTCGGAGCAGAAGAAAGAGCGAGATGGCTTTCAGTCAGTAAGAGTCTGACACTCCCTCAGTTAGGCCAAGAGAAGTCATTTGATGATTTACCCCCTCAAAATAAGGAAAAACTAGAACATTTTATATCCAAGATTGGTGTAATAATCCACGTATCTAATACGTACTTTAGGAAACATCCCAATGGACCACCACAGACGGGTTAAGGCAGCACATCTTCGGTAGAATACGCTCTAGGAGAAGTCAGTAAGAGTCTGACACTACCTCCTGGGAAAAGACATTTGATGATTTTCCCCTTACAAAAAAAAAGACTTACGGGAACATAACCAGAGGTAGTGAAACAGTTGCCTCAATAATCTGTCCGTAGTTTTCGTATAAAAGATATGTGAGTCGAAATCACCAAATAGGTTATTAAACCCGCCAATAAATTGATAGGTACTTAGATTCGGATCGCCAAGGCCATAAATAAATTGCCTTGTCAATATTAATACTTTTATTGCTCTTCGTATTTTTACTCTGTAGGTTGTCATTAAATTACAAAAGCGTATGATTAGGTATTCTGTAGTTGTTATTGTTCGTGTCAATAAACTCTATTTCGTGTAGGTACCTACTTCAGGTCAACAGAATTCTTCTTCAGACTTCTTTTTTTAAAGTAAACGAGTGATTTGGACTGGGTACAAATATTGAGACGCTTACCTATTTATGCAAATTTTTGTACCTCCATACATCTTAATTTTAAAGTATGGTACCTATAATAAATCTATAGTGTTAATAATCTGTAGAGTTTTTTTGTTTCAACGCGCTTATCTCCGGAACTGCTAGTTCGAATTGAACAATTCTTTTTGTATTTGTTAGTCTATTTATCGAGGAAGGCTATAGGCTATAAAACATCACGTTACGATATGTAGGAGCCGACCATCGAGTAAAACCGCGGGACAGTAGCTAGTTATGAAATAAATTGTGAAAATTTTAACAACACACAAAGCACACCATCAGATCTTAAGATGTGACACGGGTTTAATGTTCGCATGAAATAATTCATTTTGTGTGATCCACAAATTCTTAATTAATTCATCTGATTCCATTGTGTGTATGTAAAAATATATAGTTTTGAACATACCCACGACATAGTGAGTAGTCATACATAGACTTGGGCATCGTTTTTTAAAAACAAATCTTATGGCTTAATTAACTAATTCATGTACCTATTTGCAGGAACGGCATGCCATTCCCAGAGAGCAAAGTACCCGACTACAACAATAAGAAGGCAATGGAAGAGTCTCTGAACAAGGAATGGAACAAAAATGACCTGTCCCAAGTCCAGGAGAAGTTCAGAGATGGTAACAACGCTACCAATGGAAACGGAAACTTACAAAATGGAATCTTGCAGTATGCTGCTAGCGAAATTGCTAAAGGTAAGACATTCTTTTCATAAGATATGTACATAGGTAAAGAATTCCACGGATCGCCTGATGGTAAGCAATCAGCGCTGCCCAAAGACACCCTCAACACAAGAGGAGATTTCAGGATTGGGAATGGAAAGGTGGCACTCAGATTACAATACCGCCAACGTATCTTGGTGAGTCTGAAGTTACCCGATTAGCTGCGCAGTACACAATTTTGTTCCATTCCATTGCGCGCAGACAAACGGCTAACTTCAGACTCGCCAAGATACGTCGGCCGTACGGTAACTCAGTTTGTTGTTAGTTTTAGCTAAAGAACATAAGGTTGTGTTGTTAACTTAATTGTAATAGTCAGACAGAAATAGGATAGTTTACTCGGTCTAAAACTTATTCTGTATTTTCAGTAGACACAAAAAAACTAAAATAATGCTATTATTCACAAAAATATTATGACTTCTTATAAAAATTTTCTTTTAAAATTTGACTTGTCGGATACTACCTCACTTGTTTTTTTTTTGCAAAAAGGTATCCAAGATAGTCAATTCATAAAAACAAATCAGGATGATCTAAATCCGTTGAATGATTTTATTTCTACTATGCATTTTAAGTTCACGCACAAGTGTAGGTAGAATAAACATAGTAATTGTCTAATCAAGTACATATTAATTACGTTTTTCGCTATCTTTATTTCGATTCCAATGTTATCTGTGGAGATTACATTTAAAATTTAAAGGTGTGCTGTTAGTTGCTATGCAAACTTTGTATTTCAATATCAATGTCGAATAAAACCTCAAAAAGGTAATAATTTTGTCTCGTCTCGTTAATTGACAGAAGGATAAAAAGCATCTTTGCAGAGCCGAAAGGATGACTGGCAGAAAAATGCTTTAAGCATTAAGTCCTCCGATATGCAATTCTATTTAAAGAATAAAAAAACAAATGTAATACAATAGCCAGACAGTTGTTGGCTGAATTGGGTATTTGACAATTAGTAAAATAAAAATAAATACTTTTGCGATTTGTGACGTCATGTTGTAGTTTGGTTCAAATAACATAATTCGTATGTTTATTAGAAAAGAGCACTAACTCATATAAGAGGCTAAAACTAAAAACATAATTTTTAAGATTCAATTACCTTATTTTTTGTATACTTAAGCCTTTTTTTTCTAATTATTTATTGAAACTAGAAAATATGACTATTGAGTTTTTTTTGTAAAATTTATTTATAAATAATATTATGAATTACTCAATTGAGTAGTGGAAAGTAATTTCATACTCAAATAAAATAATAAACAATTTATTAGGAAATTATATATATATATTCGAAATCCCCAGTATATGTATAAATAAAGACGTAATCCGTTCCATAAGCTTGTTTTAACGATTAGAAGAGGTAGTATAACTACTTTTTGTCAAGTCGTGGCATTATGTTAATAAATCAATATGATATTTTGAAAAACCTTGACAATTTAATATAAATTTATTTTAATAAAGCTATACACATCCTCAAAAATATACACACAACCTCGCTACAAAAATGACGTTATAAAATTAAATATTAATAACTTCCGTTTCCGACTAATACGGTATTAATATTTAAATTAGACATTCTTTCCATATTCGCTTGCTAGTCTTATACATGATTATGTATCTTGCATAATTCACACTATAATAATATTGTAAAAAATAGTTATTTGTTTGTTTGCTCCAAAATGACCCAGGACAATTATTTTAAATAAGTATTCCATATTTGGAAATCTTGTTTTCTAAGACATGACTACTTTTATGTCCATATTTCTACACTAGTGACGTTATTTTACAAATAAACGTTCCTCTGCAATCAAACTATTTATTTAAAAAATCCGTTGGCTTTAAAAATTTAAGCATACATAGGGATGTAGGGACGGATGGAGCGACTTTGTTTTATACTATGTAGTGAATAGGGACTTACATACATAAGAAAAAGAAGTTCAGTAGTTTAGGCGTGAAAAGACAAACAGACAGTCAGACAGACATAGTTACTTTCACAATTTATAATAGTAATTTGGTTTGGATGTATAGAAAATATTTAGACAATCTGGCCTAATTAGAAGTTACGTCCTTAAAATATGACCGTCATATATCAAACAATAATTAATATAACCTTGTGATAATTTTATATGTTATCTACATAGTAATCCGGTAGTATTTACTCAATATAGTTATCTGAGATTAGGGATGTCGTACATATGTCATTTTGGCTCTGGGTAGGAAATATTAATTAATGGTAATGGGTTGCAGTAATGTGTGCAGATTACAATACATTGTCCGAATGTTTATAATAATTTGTGTTTCTTCCTATTTTGGACTAAGATTGTTTTAAAAGGAGGCTTAAGTGTGTAAAACCAGTATACTACGACCTTCTTTTTTAGATCTTTTCACACAATAAACGATCATTTTATACTGGTTCTTACTGACTGCTGTCTTCCTAAATATTATGTAGTGTTGTGAAAGGAAAATAATTTAAATTATTTTGCAAGCTCTTACGAAGTTTGGACTAAGTCTGAAACTACTTAATAAGTGACTGAAAACCTGATAATTAATTAAATATCATTATTAAAACTTCCTCAAATTGAATCAAAACTTTAATACTTTATTGGATTCAGCTCCACATACTTCCATAACGGTTATCCAATACTTATGTTAGTGTAATATATCTTATAAAACATCTGACTCATAAAACATAGAATAGGTATTTTAATAATAGTAATTATAAACACAACACTCATGTTCCGCCATTCACATGTTTTCTGTCTATCTGTATGTCACAGCTTAGCCCTCAATCCATGCATTAAGTCAGATAAAAGGTTATGCAGCTATATCTAACTGATAAAAGAGATCAAAGGTAACTTGCATCCTGTTTGTAATGCGCTAATTATGTCTAGAATACTTATTGTATATGTCAGATATTGATATTAATTAATATATTTATTTTGAAAGAGCCATGCTTTGGCAAAAATAGGCCGACTTGATCGAATTGATAAAACGGTCTGATAGTAAAACGGCCTAAAAACCCTGTGTATCGCTGTGTGATCTCCAATCCCCAAAACCACCAAAACGACATCAACGCAGCCGTACGTAACCCAATTCGATGATTCCCTGATCGCTAACCGTCAGGTCTTCTGGTCATTTGCCGACTTATTTCACAATAGATAAAATTAATATTTATTTTTTGTAAACATTAGCTTGATTTTTACAAAAAAAAAAAAGAAACTAGTTATCCTACCATTTTTTATTTTATTAGGTAAGTATTACAACCTTTTTTATACTTTCCTGGCCTATCTTTTAGAATAATTCTCTCTAGTTATGTAATCAAGCAACCTTACACTATAATGTGTAAACTAAGCTTTTATGTATAAGTGAATAATGGAAAATGAATGGCCATTGTGCTTGCGGCCAATGAGCTATTCACATTAGCGTCTCGTCTATGGTCGTTCATCGATGCATTCCTAAGATAGCTTTAGTTTATTACATACATATTTTGAAATAGAACAACATTATGCAAACAAGTGTAAAAAAGGTTTTGGTTTTTGATTCTTTAATATAAATAATAAGGCAATAAAAATCACGCAAACACCTTGACGCTCCAACACTGCTACAAAAGTTAAAAGAAAATAATATAAACAATTCACATGAGTCATCCCACCCAAACATATTGTTTAAAAATAAAACATTATCTACATCCTACATCTGCATAATATTCCTAAAAAATACTCATATAGGAGGGTGGAACTCGGCGGTGCAAAGTTTAAATACTTGCACAATCAGTTTCCATAACATATTGATAAGAAACCACATTCAACATAATAATTATGGACTTTATACTCTTGATAAACTAATGTCAGCAATTATATATAATAGGAAGCCATCTTGTTAAAAGTAATGTTGGACTGTGGACACATGCCTGGACGCCCCTTTGGTTACTTAAAATAAAATATTGATTTCTCTCTGTGATACAGGGCGTTTTATTCTAACATGCACTTTTCTCAACTAAAAATTAATTAATCTTACAAGTAGGTATGTAGGGAGTCTAGCCAAACAATGAAGGATTTGAAGCTTCTTGCTTTTGCTGATTAATCGAATACTTTATTCTAATCATATCTTAATTTTTTTTTAATAAATACATAATAAAATAAATATTATCAAACAATTAACTTTGCTAGTTCCTACATAGTACAAATAAATATAATGAAATAATGAATTGAAATGATAGTGTGCGTCACACAGAACCACTTTTCTGATGTCATTATTTTTTTGTTGTACTACTGTTGTTATAATAGAAATTACCGAAATTACTGTTTGTGGAGGACATGATACTAAAATTGTGGGAATGCATGCGTGACTAATCGTGTTAGGTTTGGTATACCTAACTACTCACTTCATAAATACTTTCATACTAAACTTGTGATTATGTTATTAGATTTGTTTGACTCAAATTCATAAGTAAGATAATTGTTTTTTACTTAAGGAGAAGAAGACATTTTCAGAAATTAAATCTTTAAATTAGATTTTTGCATATTTGTATTTAATTTTAGTCCTTATTTAGTCCTTGTATGAATCAAATTAAAAGTTTAATACACCCATAAAATGTTTGACCCCGAATCTATATATTAGAAGGCATACTAAAATATCGCTATTCCATCCCCATTACAGGTAAAATAACAATTTGCATGCAACACAATAATTATGTACAAAGTCCAACATATCGTGCCTTTTAGATATAAATTAAAATACTTCTAACATATTAAACTGGTTTATGACAAGTTGCTCTTAGTAATGAACACTTTTTTCCACAATAATCATTACTGGATCATGAAAAACGAACCAAGTACCAAGAAAATAAAGTCGATATTAAATTGATTGTGGATTGGTGTCATTTTCTGAAGTAATTCTGGACTTAGTCCTTTATTATCTACTTATTAAATGGTTGACGCCTTTTTTTACATGAGCACAAATATATAATACTAACTTACTAACTAATTATATAATTTTAAATTATTATTACATATATTGGAGGGATTCGGGGATAAAAAGTAGCAGCCTATGTTATTCCTTCAAATGTAACCTTTCCATTTGTGTATTTCTCATATCTGTTCAGTATTCTTGGAGCTTACTCAATACATACATACATACATACAAACAAGTAAATAGATAAACTATAAATTCTTTCTGCTTTGTAATATGAGTATAGACATAAGTTGGTATAAGATATATATGTAGATTGTTGTACCTACGCGTCATAGGTTTTCTTCCTTGACATTTGAACTTAACTTGTTGTCTCTATTTCAAAATGTATGAAGGTTTAACATTGTTTACATGTTACTAAAGCTACTTACATATAAGCATCATTAATTTCTAAGTAAAATATTTATTTACTGTGATTGACTAAGTAGAAGTTATGTAGTTGTAAACATCTTTAATAGGGGTATTGTTCCTGAATATCCATACTTTTTTATAGATATGTTGTATCTGGAATGGCAGCTAGTCTGTAGAAAATTGACAACATACTCGCCTGATTGAGGGAAACACCCTTGTAGAAGGTGCCATTAAGACATTATACTATAATACATGTATAATTTATACCCATATGAAAAATGAAGAGAACAAGTTGCATAAAAACTATACTTACGTATAAGTGTTAAACGAATACTAACGTATATACTTATCCTTTTGCGGAATATATAGCTTAATGATATATTGTCTGTAGTAAGGTGCAGTCCCTATAATTTTATCACATTCTTAGTTAATTTCCATTACCTACCAGTTGCAACTTTGTAAACAAATATAAAGGTAGAACAATACGTCATGTAATAATATTTATGTTTTTGTAAAACAAGCCGTTTGAGTTGTTTTCTATAACATTTATCTAGTACGAGGAAAACAGGATGTTATTATGATACCGACGTTATCATTTTATTAATTATTTGTTTTCTATTTCCTACTGTATTTAGCAATAATTTGATTAAATATTTGGGCTGTTGATTTACCAATGAGATTAGGGTGTCGGATTACTGCCAATATCAACGTTATTTATTTCACGAAGACGATCAAAGACACTTTTGAACGTCAAACAAAATAATTATATTGAAAAACGTAAAAAGTGTTAGTTTGTTGGTCGTTCCAAAGAATACGTTCGTTCTTATGGAGAAAAACAAGTAAGAAAATCCGTGCCACCATCAATGAGAGCTTTGAGCGAGAAGCTGACAAAAAGTGGCAAAAAATACCTACATTGATGAATTCTTAAATAAGAAATAAAACAACTCTCTTGTTTACTTGCTTTAATTTTTATTTTCCTCTTCCCCAGGTGAACCGCTGGTAGTCCAAATGGATTCTGAAAAGCAGGATAACGTGGACGTGGCGCTGTTGGGCGGCGAGGGCTCTCCCAGACGGTACGCTACGTCAGAACTTACTCAGTTCTGGGTGGTACTCAAACGAACTCTGCTGTTCAGCAGAAGAGATTGGGTAAGTGTTTTAAAATGTTTTTTTAGTTTTACCTTTCAATCGTGTTAATTCGAGACACAGTAGAAGAAAACAGTCGTTCCATGGACTTTTGTTCGTAGAACAGTAGTTCGATGAATTAGGGTTGGAAATCCTTACGGAGCTTCTTCGCGTTCAAAATCTCTTCTCAATTCTTTAGCAAGGGCGGTTTTAAGTAGAAATCGATGTGCTACAAATTAGTGCCTAGTTTTATTTAAATTAGTTGAGAGGTTTCCATGAATTTGTATTAAAACTTCATCCTGTAAACGCTGTAGAATTATTTATGCAAAGTAACTTTCCGCCTAGAGACGCATTATTTTGCACATATTAAAAAAAAAACACACACACACTAAATGTTCTGTCTGTACCTTTGACATTTTAAAATTGTAATAATAATCCAAATATTCTGATTTCAAACTAAATTTTTATGTTTAAATATTATGTAGCAGAAATTTTCCATTTGGAAATATAATGGATAACCATTTAACTACATCACCGATGAAAGTCGTGGTTGCCCGCTTTCCATGCATGAGGAGGGGGGTTCGAAAACTGTCAAGTACCTACCTACCAATGGGATTTTCCGAGTCATATGTACCACAAACATGAGGTGAAGGTAAACATCGTGAAGAAACCTGGACTTTTAATTTCTAATTATAACTTGGAAATCGCCAATCCGCCTCGGGTAAGGGTGGTGATTAATGCTCAAACCTTCTCTGTGTGAGACGAGGCATTTGCTCAGCAGTTGCTTAAAGGCTGATGATGTGATGATGTAACGGCTAGTTTACCTATCCTGTACAAATAAATAAAAAAGAAGAAAAAGCTGGCAATCCGTTTTTGATATTCGTAGGTAGGAACTTAAACTACCTCTACTACTATCATCAGGCGGACCAAAGTAACAACAAATCAGAATATGTCATACTTACTCAATAGCATCTATTAGACTTATGAGACAACCTGCCAACTCAAATAACAACAATAATAATATATTTCATCTATGACAATACATGTAAAATGTGAGTCACGTTTTAAATTGAACGTTCTACAGTTCAACTAGAGTTCAAATTCCAAAGTAGGTATGTATTGTCCTGTTACTGTGATTTGTAATAAGTTGTGACAATGCGTTTAGATTTATCAACGATGTTGTCATATTCGTATCAAATACAAAGGTTATATGTCTGGCTTGCTATATTTGAACTAATTATATTATTTACTTAGTATTTATTGGTGTACTAAAAGCTTGCTTAAAGTCCAAATTCCAAAGTAAAATTGTATTGTAAAGCGTATCCAAACAAAATATAATAATACTTCAGTAGTAGTAAACCTGCAAGGTTATTTCCATATTCAGCGCCATCTGTTGTTACAATTTTGAATTCAAGCTATTCTGGAGTGCGTGCAGAAATTAAATACTAATCGGTCCAACAGTTTGGGAGTTCAGTGACACAAATATTTTTTGTAGTTAGTAGTAGTAGTTTGTATCAAGTCACAGTCAGTAATATTATTTTAATACATGAAATCGCATCACATAAAAACACCCAAAATAAATGCCCACTGCTGAGCGAAGACCTCTTCTTAAACGGAGACGGTCTAAGACGCTTAATCACCATGTTTGCTCAAGACAAATTGGCGATTACAAACTAATAATTAGAAATTGTAAGCTCAGGGTTTCCCACAATGTTTTCCTGAATCGTATAACAGTATCTGTCTTAATACGTGCATCTTGATAAACTTAGAAACTACATCTACCTCAGAAAAGTCACCTGAGTACTTTATAGGTTTTGAGGCCGGGTTACCACGGCCTGACAAACAAAACATACTAATCGTATATGACATTCAATGTGGATTTTAGCTTTAAGCAACGTGGTATTCCCGAAGTATAAGTATTTATTTATTGTTTGATGAACAATGCATTCCTATTGTTTTACTGTCTCCATACCTACAATCGTGTAAATATTTATTTGAAATTTGCATTTATGTCTAGACCCGTTAGTATTTTTTGTTATAAGCCTGGCAACTCAAAATAACATGTCAGATTTGAAAAAAAATTCTTAGGGCAACGACCGACCGATTCGTTTTAAAATGGCCGACATAACGGGTATTCACATTGAATTAATGATTTTAAGACACAAATAATATATTGTTTCGAATTTATTTTAAAATTATAAAGTAGGTCTATCAAAATATAAGTTTAAAAATAAATATTAGGTACTACCAATATTTTAATATCCCACTTTCATTCATTGATTTTAAAACATAATTAAGATCCAAAACTTTTTCGAATTTAAAAAAAATACCTAATTGTGCTATTTGACGCTAAAATCGTGAACACTGTCTTTTACAAAACTCATAAGAAAACTGTTATTCATGAATTATAAAATACGTCATATATGTAACTATATAGTTGGCAAATACTCGAATACCAAACATAAAAGCTTGATACAGCTTCATAGATATTCCAAATGAGTTCTCTCGCCCATTGTGAGGCGAGAAAGAGTTTCAGACTTCTACTGACTACCCCCCGTTTTTTCTTCTGTTCTATGCCGAGGCCGTATTACCTACCCCTTATATCTGTTTACACCTTAGAGGAAAGGGAAAATAGATTTAACTTGACTTAACTTGTGACCTTTTGCTTTTAATACAGACACAAGATAAACAAATCAAAAGCCATTATAAATGTGCTACTTAGTATATTTAGGTAACATTTGATACGGTCGTTTCAAGGTCATGAATAAAAAATCGATATTCCTAATACTTTTTCTATCACCAAGTTTCAATCCCAAAGTAAAAGAGAAATAATTTATTTTAATTAGAACAATAAGAGGCTTCTAAATTAACTAAAAATCGCGGGTTGATCACGTGTATAAATTGAGAAAAGTAGGCTGCGCGATGCCGCCGCGTCCGCGCACGCTGGTCATGAGGAAGAACCACTCTGTGGTTCGAAACTAGTAGGCTATAAATTCAAATATGTCATGCAATCCCTATAAGTTTATTTTATACATGTTTTATTAAAGTACACCCTCTCCCACAGACTCTGATGTACCTCCGTTTATTCGCGCACATCCTGGTCGGCTTCTTGATCGGTGCACTGTACTACGACATCGGCGACGACGGCTCCAAAGTACTCTCCAACCTTGGTTTCCTGTTCTTCAATATGCTGTTCCTCATGTACACTTCTATGACCATCACTATTCTTAGTTGTGAGTATTCTAATATTACTATTATTACTTTTGCATTTAGGTTGGTTTTAGACTGTGTGGAATTTTTGGACGAAAAGGGATTTGTGATATTCATGGGAGGGGCTGGTCGCTTGCTAGGTTCACCCTGTCCTAGAAAATGGAAGAAGAAAGAATGCTATATGCTACCTTCTGATTGTAGGAATTTAAGTCGATTAACGCTATCCGAGTAACTTGTCCGTTGCATACAATTAATAAAGCGATGAATGACTTGCGTTGTGTAAACAATATCTATGGTATCACATTTACACGAATAAACGTGCCCTAAATGTATTGAAGTCAAGTATTGCTCTTGAATGTTCATAAAAATACTTTATAGTAAAAATAGTATGGAAATCGAATTGCAACTGCCAACCCTACACTTTATTTTTCTTACAAAACAACAAAAAAGATCAAGTCTTTTTACACAATCTCAAAAGTGCGATGTAAGGGGTCACACTTAAGCCATATAAATACCAAAATATCCAAGAGTAAAATTCTTAACAACATATAAATATGAACTTTGTTGCAGAATACATTAAGACATTGTTACCGAATCAGAAAAATTCTAATACTTTGAATTTGAATTTAAAATAAATTCAAGCAATTTTAAGCTAAACTTTTTAAACAATAAGGTTGAAAGTCCTATATTTGTGCCATGATCTGATTACATTTGAATGGTTTCCAGTTCCCCTTGAGATGCCTGTGCTGGTGAAAGAACACTTCAATCGATGGTACTCGCTACGGTCATACTACCTCGCCATCACTGTCTCGGATATACCGTTCCAGGTAACTAATATTTATTTCATAAACACGTGTTTCCTTATTTATTTTATCATGTTTCAAATAATATTCCATTTATAAAATTCAATTTGTGAAATTAACGGTAGGCCTAACATTTATTTATCAACATTTGTTATGCGTTTGCTGTATTGAGAGATTGTCTATTTAAAGAGAAAGAAAAATTTTAAAAGCTGAAAACTATCACTATCTTTCACTTATTGCTTGTATGAGTGTAGATTACGTACCTAGTTCCCTAGTTTTTTTTTATATTACTGTATATCAGCTACCCAATATACATATATCTACACTACCTAAATGATAACTGGCAGAAAATACTATTGTTGATACGCAAGTGTAAGTAAATGAAGAAAAAATAAAATAAAAGCTATCAACAGTATTTTACATAATTAAAACTACTCGAAAACGAACAATTCTGTATTTTCAATTCACTAGCTCTTGCCCGCGACTTCGTTCACGTGGAATAGTGACTTCCTGCAGATTTTTGGTATAAAAACTATCCTATGTCCTTTCTTGAGTTCCTAACTATGTCTGTACCAAATTTCACATAATTAGGTTCAATCGTTTAGGCGTAAAGATAAGACAGACGGACAGACAGAGTTACTTTCGCATTTATAATATTAAGTTTGGATTATATAATATGCATGCAATTTTAAACTTTAAACGATTTTCTTTTGTGCATTCTAGGCAATATTCTGCGTGATCTACGTGGTGATAGTATACTTGCTGACGTCACAACCTCCGGTTTGGTTCCGATTCGCGATGTTCCTGTCTTCGTGTCTGCTCATCTCCTTCGTGGCCCAGAGTGTTGGACTTGTCGTTGGTGCTGCTATGAATGTTCAGGTATAATCTTTTATTATATAATGTATTATACTAATATTATAAACTGGTAACATTTTTAAGTTAGTAAGTCAGGGGTAATCTTTAGAACCGATGGTCGGATTTACAAAATTATTTCACTGTTAGAAAGCTACAATATTCCTGTGTGCTATATATAGCATGTAAAACATCACGAGCTTTAGGCGCCGAGTGATGTATTATAACTCTGTCTCTGTCATTTTAAATTATTAAAAGTAAGTTATGTTTACTCAAAACGCAGCGAGCGTTAGTGGACTACGCGATGTATGACACTATGTTTCATGTTTTCTTGAAACTATTCAAGTTACTCTTCCACAAAGATAAATTATTAATTATTATGTTTTCGGCTTACTCACGTAATAATTTGACGAGATATTCGACTAGTTTCAAGCCATGCTAGAGGACCATATTCATGAGCAGCATCCCTTAACAAACTTAACATGGCTTGAAACTAATCGAGTATCTCTTGAAATTATTACGTGAGTAAGCCGAAAACATAATAATTAATTTAGAATGTCCCACGAAAGTTATTATAAAAAGAGATAGATTATAGTCTAAAATAGCATATAGGTACTTTATGGTTAACCTGGTTTTACGGCCAAAGTCTGTAGCTGAAGTTGCCCTGCTGTGAGCACTTTGATGATTTTATGTTTGACGTGACCATCTTCAAGTTACTTGAGTTAGGTATAACGTCTACCGACTTACTTAGGTCGGCACAACGTCTTTTACCATTGGTAAAAGACATTATTTACACATACAAATTAAGTTATTTTTGTTACTTAATTAATGAAATTTATATTAGCATTGAATGTGCTAAAGCTTAATTTGAATTTCATACGTCCTATATATTTATTTTGGAATAAGTACATCACCCAATTTAATTTTTAATTGTGTCGTTTCCAAAATGGCCTTAGTAACCTGAGTATTGACGTGTTTTGTGTCTTTAAATATTAATCTGAAATAATTACCTGCTTTTATAAGGTTGTTGCAATGTCAGCAGTGAATAAACTGCAATATTTTATGTTTTTTTTTTATAAGTCTTTATGTATGTAGAAGTGTTTTTACGTTTGAAACTATGCTAATTTGTTAAAGGTTAAGTTTTTGTTAGTTGTCAAGTGTATACCAGGATTTGTTTTGGTTTTCGTTCAGGCTAGCATTCTGTGAGCCTAAAACCTCCTTTTAGGCTATCGTTAGCAATTATTACTTGGTTACACGTTACAATGGTTAGCACAAGATAATAATGGGAGAGAAATCATTGCATACATTTATTTTTATTGATACACTACAAAGCAATAGGCAGGCTAGTATTAGGCTGTACATAGTCATAAAAGTCCAGGTCTCCGAAGACATCATAGAAATTCACAACTTGAGGCAACTATAATAAAATTAGCTTTTAATTCAAGAGCTAGAAAGAAGAATACACGTCACACTTAGCGTTAGTCGCACGTAGAAGAAAGGAGCGTTTGTTATACATCCCCAAAAATGCAACATTTCAAGACTTCATATTCGAAAAAAAAAACTTTGATCCAATCCAACTGCAATCTGACGTCGACCTCGCTACTAACAAATTAAGTAAAACTACATAGTATAAATCAAAGTCGCTTTCTCTGTCCCGTACACCGTATGTACCTATGCTTAAATCTTTAAAACTACGCAACGGATTTTAATGCAGTTTTTTTATGGATAGAGTGATTGAAGAGGAAAGTTTATATGTATAATAACATCCATAAAATAGTGAAGAAATTTAGTATAAGCATTGCAGACGTGTGATGCTAGGTCGGGACGCTAGTATTAATATATATTTTTTTCTTTCTCAACAGAACGGCGTGTTCCTCGCGCCCGTAATGTCGGTACCGTTCCTTCTATTCAGCGGTTTCTTCGTATCATTCAATGCGATCCCGGTGTACCTGCGGTGGATCACGTATCTGTCCTACATCAGATATGGATTCGAGGGCACTGCTCTCGCCACCTACTCCTTCGACAGACCTAAGCTTAAGTGCCATCAGGTGAGAGTTCTTTTTTTGTATATCTTTATATATATAAAAAAAAATGGATCGCAAAATGTGTTGTAAGCGCATAACTCAACAACGCCTAGATTCTTTTTTTGTTGTGTTTGTTATTGTCAGGAGAAGGTTCTTTTAAAAGAAAATATTAGAAAAGTAGAGGGGAAAATTAGGAAAAAGTGACCCTTTGATAGCGAGATAGTAGTAACTGTATAGTTATAGCTGCGGTTATGAGCAAAGCGCAAGTATTCAATCGTGTCCCTGTATCGAGGCAGGAGATGGAATCGTGTGGTTTTTAGTCTCATGTTTCTCTCTTTGAGCTTTATATATAACGGCGTATAAGTGAAGTTATTTCTCAAGTAGTGGAGAATTTGTTTATTTATGTTTTAGTTTTACCTCTTTGTATTTTTCATATTGCGTATGGTAACAATTAAGAGCGGGTAACACCGAATGGGTTTGTGTCAGTTGTCTTACGGGCAAGTGATGAGGAATTAGACAGGGTTGTTGATGGGTTGCCCGTAGAAACCAACGCAACTCCATTTGCTCTTGCAATTTGAAAATAATATTATTTTGGCTTCGTACTTAACGTTGTTTAATGTAATACACGGATGTCCAATTATATCGGTCCACTTTATTATTTACCAAATTTCTATTGCAATATCTACCATGAATACTAGCGAACTACCTGGAGAACAAGGAAATACAGCCCGGCCTCCCGATTCTCCGACATATATATATGACCTTTGGAGTCCTAACAGCCGCATAAGCAACATATATTTTAAGCAGACATTGTCCTTTTGGCTTTAGAACTCTTAGATAAAATTACACTTTTAAAACTGCGTTCTCCAATTCATTTGAAAAGATTAAACATACCAGCAGTAGCCTGTCACGGCCTGACCAGCCGTTGTTTATCCAATTTGGCTATTTCTCGGATTTCTCCACCACAAAACCTAATTCTTCTGTTCTTTTCCAGACTTACTGTCACTTCAAGAACCCAGAAACCACATTGGAAGAGTTGGACATGTTGAATGCAGACTTCACCCTGGACATCGCGGCTCTCTGTCTGATCTTCCTCGTCCTGCGTATATCTGCCTTCCTATTCCTTCGCTGGAAACTCAAATCTACCAGATAAGCTATATAACACCTACTTTACATGTATTTAGGGTAGAAAACCAAACGACAAGTTATTTTAAGTTAAGATTGTCACTTTGTCACCGCTTTTGTACGAATATGTGATATTGACCAGCTTGTGGTGCCGATAGATGAGTTTATAATGCAATTTTAAAGGCGATAATTGTTTATTTATGTCGAATTTATGCCAAAGGTTTCCTAAAGAAGGGATTGGAATAACAAAACTAATATTTCTTTTAAATATTGTTTTTATAAGCAGCTCAGTCGTTTTTTATGGTTGCTGACAGATTCAATGATTTTGAGACAAAGTAACAATCGTTAGTTAGTTTACGCAGTTATTGTGATAAAGATAATATTATTATATGTATTTAAGGACAACGGGACTGTACATTTCGAATATTTTATGACAAAGTATGGGATCCTACCATTCAGATCTATAGAAATCTAACATTAAAACCACGTCCTGTTTCTATTCATTGCAAAAAAAACTTGCATCATCTATTAACATTGTAAAATATTAAAAAAAAAATAAAAAATAAGTTGGTGTCAATAAAATTTTGACGGATGAAAATTGCTCTTTGTAATGTTAAACTGACATTCTCAGCCAAAAGTTGTATATTTAGAGCTGACCTCAAATTGAAAAGACTAGGATAAGTAATAACAATTTTGATAATGTATTATAAATAATGAAATTACATGACAATCTATTTAGCAAGGTCGTTCAAGCTCAAATCATGGCCTTATTTCAAACAAAAAAGTAATAATTTTGAACAGGATGAATTAAAATGTGATAACTTTTTGTGATACAACAAAAAAAAAATCACAACAAATATAAATTACTTATTGCAGTTATAAAAACACATCAATTTTGTAAATAAAAGTTTAATTCTATACTCAATGGGTCTTTACATTTTTTATGCCACAGACTATCCGAACCATAGATTTATAATCAGAGATTTTGTAACAGATAATATATAATAGTAAGATCTGAAACTATCAGAAACCGAGCCTATGTAGCGACGTTAGAAATTACACAAAAAAGTTAATATATAAATTATAATTATACGAATCCATTGATTATTTTGCTCATAAATTATTCATATTTCTTGCCTAACGGGCTTGCCGTTAATTTTATGTCAAAGATATTCGTATTTTATTTAAATAGTAACGGTAATTTTAACTCTTTTATTTTTATTCTATAAATAAAGACTGCTGTTCAATTGTTTAATTCAGAAATTCATTCTTTCATCTTTGAGTACCTATTTGAATTATAAGTTTTTTTGAATATATATATTTCAAAGCTTTTGTAAATAACCGTTACTATTAAAATAAATAATTATTATTACGCATTCAGGGATCATGGTATATTTCATTGTACTTAGTGTTGTAATTATTTAGATAAAATATTGTGGTCCAATTAATTATTGATAATGGTTAGTTGTAATGGTGTATAGAAAGTATGATGTTTTGTACCTATATATATTTTTTAAAATAAATGGTTTATGAAATTAGTTTTTGTTTTATTTTTTTAATTATATGTTCACATATAAGGCATAAGGACTGGTCATATGTTGACTGACAGTGGTTGGATTAGAAGAGCTGAACATCGAGCTCAATGGCGTGCAATTGGGGAGAATTTCTATGTGAAACTGATACCTACGTTCTCTGAAAGAATTTTTTTCTTTAAAAAAAGTTAAAATACTTATAAAAAAAATTTTAAATAGAAAAACAGATTTATAAGAAAAAATCAATTAATAAAAATATGATTAAAAATAATTAAAACAATCGTATGTATGTGTTGGAAGTTGTCAGCTCTAGGATGGGGCTTATAGCCGCTGGTTGCAAGTTGCAAGCTGCTAGTTGCTACTCTGGTCTTGGACTCCAAGCGAACAACTACTTACCTACTTAATAAACTATCAATCGATTCGTGTTTAGCGATTGTAATCATTATAATGTATTTCATTAAGGTTAAATTATAAATAATGTGTGAACATAGCATGTTTATGGTTCGTCTACATGACACCGTATATTTTGTTGAGATCAGGGAAGTCAATCATTGCTTTAGCTAATTATATGCAACAGTGTAAATAGGGCTGTAAAATTTGCTACTTCGAATGTGGCAATAATTCTTCGGTTGAACGCTTACGACGATGGTATAGCAGCATTAACTTCCCGGATATGAACATTGCCGTGACTGATTGTGGGTAGCCGACAGGTAACATGTACTAGCCATTATGTCGCGTTCTTCGCGTTTTCATAGCCATTAGACTACTAGGTACTTTTTTTTTCACGGTGCAAGCCCGCCGCAACCCCCCAGAACCCCTGCAACTCCCGTAAGCCAGGATCTAAAGTAGATACAACCATGGAAACACCGGAACACTAAAGTCCATCTTGGATCCCACAACGAAATAAATCAGAAGATATTATTTGAGGAGAAGAAAAATCAAAATAGTTTCCACTTCCCTCGATAAATTTAATGCAGGAGAAAGAATGACTTAGGCCTTAAAGGCACATAAGAGACTGTACAACTGAGAGAAGGCCAGTCACCAAACACAGGGGAAATTTTTTGCATTGGTATTGTAATGGGACCTTATGTGTGAGCTGCTATAGTTGTTTCCAGTAATAGGTATAGCAAAAACGCCTAAACGCATGGAAATTTGTCATACCTTCATTCCATAAGGTCTGTATAATAAACTACACCTGATGAGGCAAATTTAAATTATCTAACTACTGATGACTGATACCTACTGATGTTTAGAAGGATAGACAGGGGTAGTATTTAGTCATCAAGAGTGTGACAAACCCTCTCACTTATTCCAGACAAAATGAAAAACGTCCAATTAAAGGCGGAAATACACTATTGTGCCATTTTCGTGACTGCACTGGTTGACGCAGTGGGCAACTGGGTGCTGTGCAACGTGTCGTTTTTAATCTGCACAGATCAACACTGCGTGATCCAAAATTGTTGTTTCGTGTCTGGGAGGTCTGTGTTTGTTTAAAACAGACACAGGAGATAACCCTAGTGCGAAGCAATGTAAAAAAAAACTATCGGTTTCATACATTATCTATGAGGTACCTACACAACTTTACACAAGCGTGGCTTGTCGTGTCGTGTTACGTGCTGTCAAATGTATATAACCGGGGCGTTCTGAAACGCCATACTGCAACGTACTGAACTACGAGCAGTTCTATTAAAAAAAACTTAGTACAGTTGTCGGACGCTTTCGTCCAAAAAGATGGAATAGTTTCGACCTATGGCCATGGCTATAAATAAAGTAGACTACCTATTATAAAAAATACTGAAATATAATACATTTGTCACGAGAATCGAAGAGAATAATTATTGCTTGACCGTCCCACTAACGACCAGTCAACAAACAAGACAGTCATCGTAAATAAACTTTTATGTAAGTAAATAAGTAACTATATAGATACATTTATGTAGGTAGGTATACATCCAAGTCCACTGACAGAAGTGACAACGCAGACAACAGCAAGTCATCCTACACTTTTCTGTCAAAATCGAATTTCAACTGTATACTTTAGAAGCAAAGTCGAAAATCCAATGATAAACATATTAAAGTAGGTCGACCTGCTAATATAGGTAGTAACGGTTAATATTTATATAAATTACAAGGAAAAACATTGTTAGTGTGTTTTTAATAAAGCGAATTAACTGTAGAACAGGGTGAAAAGGTCGAATACAGGTTTATTAATGGTTGTCAATATAACAGTCTGTAGGTATCTTAGACAAATTGCCATTTATAAAAAAAAACTTCCATAAAAAGTATAATTTATAGCCTATAGCACTCAGGAACGTTGAAACTATTAATCAATGAAAGTATTTTGGAAATCCGACTAGCGGTATTAAAGATTACCTCCTACATACAAACTTATCGTTATAGGTAATAATTGTTAGTATACATGAGGAACAGGTACTTAACTGTTAAAGTTTACGAGTAATTTTTTGTATGTAACGAGAATAGCGATATAATAAAACGGAGATGACTAATTATTATTTTAATGCCCGTTCTTTTGATTAATTTTAAAACATTAGACGTGATTTTTTTCTTTTCCTACTGAGACGAATATTTGAACAGGAACAACAACTAGTGGATCACACAAAGAGCTTTTCCGTGCGGGAGTTGAATCCCCTGACACGTTAAACGACAGCCAGTTGTCCAGCCACCGCGCCAACCGTATACAGTGCAGTTCTTAATGATTAACATGACAACATCGGCAAACTAAAACTAACAACATCGGTTGACAGCCCTAATTGCTAATCCATGTTAAATAGGTAGGTATTCATTAAAAGTTAGGTATTCTATTATTTACAATGTAATATACCTACCTTTGAGCTCGTAGTTACTGCTGATTAATACCGTATTAATACAGTTTTAAATTTTGCATGTGTTGCTATTTGATGAGATTAATCTTACTCAACCAAACTAATATTATAAATGCAAAAGTAACTCTGTCTGTCTGTCTTTTCTTCACGCCAAAACTAGTTTGAAACTCGAGAAAGGACAAAGGATAGTTTTTCACACTCACTATTCCACACTAACAATTCAAGTGAGGGAGAGCCATGTTTCGGCACGAATGGGTCGGCTCGACCGGAGTGATACCACGGCCTCACAGAAAACCGGCGTGAAACAACCACAGCGTTGTGTTTCGCCGTGTGAGTGAGGTTACCGGAGGCCCAATCCTCCCCCTTCCCGGACCCTTCCCCAATCCCAAAATCCCCAAATCTCTTAAAGGTCGGCAACGCACTCGTAACTCCTCCGTTGTGGGTGTCCATGGGCGGCGCTGATTGCTTACCATCAGGTAATCCGTCTGCTCGTTTGCCGACTTATTACACTAAAAAAAAAAAAAAAAAATTGTTACTCAATCACGCTAAAATGACTCAACGGATCGGGATGAAATTTGGCACATACATAGTATACACTCCGGAATAAAACATATGCGATATCAACATACCACGCGGACGTAGCCGCGTGTGATGGCTAGTAAATTATAAAATAATTGAAGAATATCACATCTACCTATGACATAATAATATTATATTACAAAAAATTACCCAATCTTCATGTTACCCGAAAATATATGAAGGTATCACGTAAAATAAGTTATGAAGCTCACGTTTCTATACGGTTTCCCAACGCAACTACACAAGACAGGAATATAAATATATCATTTTGTGTAATAAACATTTATTTGTGGGAAGTATGCGGTTGGTGAAACTGGAACAACCTTCAGAGGTTTATAAATTAGGTACCGATGTGGCGAGTTGGGAAATTACTTTAAATTAAAATGTTCCTGAACAAAATTTTATAAAGGGAAATACAAGGATTAATGTTGGCATATTGAGAGAGCTATGCCGCCTGGACCGGAGTGATAGCACATCCTCACAGAAAACTGGTGTCAAACCAACACAGCGTTGTGTTTCGCCTTGTGAGTGAGGTTTCCGGAGGCCCAATCCTTCCCCTCACCTCCCCAAAAGGTCAGAAACGCACTGATAACCTCTGTTGTACGGGTGTCTATGGGTGGCGCTGGTTGCTTCATCATCATCAGCCTATAAGTGCCCACGGCTGAGCAAGGGCCTCTTCTCACACAGAGAAGGTTAGAGCATTAATCACTACGCTTGTTCAATGCGGGTTGGCGATTTCAAACTTATAATTAGAAATTATAAGTGCAGGTTTACTCACGATCTTTTCCTACACCGTATGTCAGTGGTGTCTAAATAATCATAGAAAGTACATATAACTCGGAAAAAGTCGCATTGGTACTTGCCAGGTTTAGAACCCACACCCTCATGTATGAGAAGCGGGCTCCTTATCCTCCGGGCCACCACAACCAGCACCGGCTGGTTGCTTACTATCATTTAATCAGTTTGCCGTCCTATCGCATAAAAAACGTATAAATAAAAATAGAGAGCAAGAAGGAACCTTCACCACTCCACGTATACTCCTCAGGATTGCTTGTTCAATCTCAACGATATTCTGCTGTCTGGTTCTAAACAGGAGAAAAAAGAAATTGATTTATACTTAGTTCTGACTAAAAATACCGCATCAAAATCCACTGCGTAGTTTTTAAGATTTAAGCGTATAAATGAAAACTTTTTTACTTTTTCTTAAGAATATGACACCAACTCTCGCCCTACCCCAGGATGGAGAGAAGTCATTAGATGAATTTTCCCTCTCAATTAATGATAGTATAGTATACATCACTAAATGTACATATAAAGCAAAGTAGCTTCCTCGTTAGTATATAGTTAGTATATTAATATACTAACAACCATTAAATAGTGGGGAAATTTAGTACCAGTGTTGCACCCAGGCGAAGCCGGGACAGTTCACTGATATTATGTATCATCAAGTAAACAGGAAGCCGTTAAATAATTTCATTCGTTTCTCTAAACAAAATCAGAATTTTCTGCTTTGGGTGAACCAGAGTTTAAAAACAACGCTTGACTTGGACAACCTGACTTATGATCAGACTACTAAGAGATAAGGTTAGTATTATATTAGATTTGTCAAATAAAAATAAATAATGTAGGTACATAGTTTAATAATAAATACATGATTTATTAAAGAAAATACACACATTGCACAAGTAAACTACATAGTACCACACATTTAGAGCACAAAGTTGCACGACAGACTCAATATAGCATTCACTTAAATATTCCTTCTTAGGAAGTACGAGTGAGACATACATATAAATCCATCAATCGAGAAAATTCCCTAATTTAATATTTCGACAAAACCTCAACAGCAAATGTTATAATAGACAGGGTACACCCAAACACGTAAACTATCCACGGAATAGCAAATCGAGGTTGAAATTGTAACTTGTGGAACGTATGCTTTATTTTGTTTAGGTAGTTTAAATCCCTCATAACTTTATCGACCAAGCCACTCTCCCTTAGTTGAAGGCATTTCTGACATAGTTCGTGAATCAACGGAAACCCCTTGTACATGTATAAGGCGTATATCACTTTAGAATAAGGTTTCGATAGTGTGACAACGCGAGGGTCACCATACTCATCAAAAAAGTCATCTTCATAATACTGGTAAATAGCATAAAGAAGAAGCGTGAATAGGTTCTCGGACTTCGATACCGTTTTAACACTTTCCATTAAACCGTGGCATCCATTATGTATATCATACTCCTTATCGGATTGTATAGATTCTACATAATATTTACTCATTATTGTGCCCAAGCAAGGCTTCAGTTTATATCTGTAAATGTCCTCTTCCTCTGAAATCTGGTACTGCAGAGCTGGATTTGTTGTCAAACTAACCAGATTTGACTGATAGAATACGTTGACTAGGTATGCAAATATAATCCATGACAGTAGTACCATTTTCACCATCCAACGACTTCGAATATTTCGGCCGTGGAGCACCAGAATGTCCACTAAAACCAACACGATGTAACCCTTATCCGTGGCGCGAAGAAGTTTTATTAAAATGATCGAATACAGTACCAGAGTCAGTGATAGCAGCATCCATACGGTTGTACTGAATTCCAGATATATGTTCTTCCACGCTGGCTGCTCCTTTGCTCGTCTTACGACAAAACGTATCTCATCTGTGTAAACTAAGTGCCCATAAACGTAGTTGAAAGCTACCGCTCGCGACGGTACCAGTAGCATGCCTCCAACAACAATATCCACTTCATTGTCTTGGATCGTTTTCAAAGCACCGTTGGCTTCCATGTCTTTAGAAATGGTGGGAAATTCATCCATATAAGCCTTGTTACCTACTATCTCTATATCAAATCCCAGCATTTCTCCCATCAAGCTGAGTATGTATGGTTCAGCGCCGTGTTTAACTAGAAAAGGCTCGGTTGAATTGTTCGAAGGCATCAAAGTATACGGCGGCCACTGAGTTGTCAATACCCTAAATGTGCAATTTCTCAGACCAGTGGTAAACTTATTCGGATACAAGTCTATTGAATCTGCTTCAGAACACTTCCCGTAGCTGATGATGTCGTCATAGTGTTTACCACAGTTAAAATTATCGAAGGGGTTGTAGCTGTAAAGGTGGGCGTCATCAGTAAAATTCATGACCAAAACATCATTCACATGCAATTTCAGGTTAATATCAAATATGATTTTCAGTTTGTCATAAGTTAGTTCTTTAACAATGAATAAAAATCGAGCATTGGGATTCCATGTCGCTTCTTTAATGATATTGCTGAAATGTTCAACGAAATGAGAGAAATTATTTGCACAGATTAGATATCCTTGATGAAGAACGGCCACCTTGTGGTTCGCTCGCTTGGATACCATGGTCAACTGGTTCGTGTTATGTATAGCTTGCAGGAGTTGTTTATCTTGGGCCTTATTTCCGATATATGTTAGAACTTTTGTTTTTGTAAAATATTTTGTGATTATATCTAAAGAACATTTTAATAATTTTTCGCTATAAATTCTTTGAGGAATTTCTATTTTCAGACAATTTATGGTGTGTAGGAACAACACAACCAAGAATAGAGACCGCATTTTGGAATTTGAGGCATTTTCAATAAACTCTCTAAGTGATATCAGTGAGTTATGCATGATAGACAGTTTGTTCAATGATATCTGTATCGTATTATAATAATTAGTAATTATTCTGTCGAAATGTTTACAGGGTCGGTGATTTAGGCTCATTATTATATCCGAGATGACTGACGTTTGATATCTACATTATTTTGTTGGAAATTGGAAATTTTCAATTTTACGACTAACTTATCAGATTGAAATAATTGATTAGTTTTATTTCAGTTATTGCAGTCCTGCTGTATGGGTTTTTGATTGAAAGTGTTGAAATTGTGTGGGGTCGTTGCTAAGCCTACATTGCAGAGGTAAGTTCAGTCAATCACAATGCACATTGTAATAAAATTTATGACTTTTTATTGAAGAGTAGTTTGGCTTAATTTTATTTTGTATTTGGCACGGATTATTGTTAAATGTGGCAATGTTATTTACAATCTCTGTGTGAAGCTTCAAATCCATATTTTTTAATTTATACCTTATGGCTTACGATGGCAGCTTAAGTATATTGCAGAGCAGCATTGCGCGACGCGTTGACAGTCGCGCGTCTTTAAGTAATCCAAATTTAATTAAATCCAAATTTTCATAAAACCAAACTCTTCAGAATCGATTTCGCTTCTTATAATACACATATAAATTTTCAATGAATAATGTGAGAGTAGAAGCAACACAACCGGTTATGTACACGCTCCAAGGGAGGCAAAAGCGAACTTGAAATTCTTTTTTTGGGTATTTCTGTTTTACTAATCTTGAAAAATATTGGTCTTTGAGGCTTTTATCAGCCAGACCATTCTCTCTTAACCGCAACACATTCATTCTTACTTCACGAGAAATAGGAAAACCTTTATAAAAATAAAATCCAAACAGAAACTTAGCATACGGCTTCTTAAAACGGTAAATCATTGTGTTGCCCCAAGCATCGTTGAACTTCGGCATGTTGTACCGATACACGTAATTTGGTACCACTGAATACAATTCTGGATTTCTAGTAACTGTGTGTAAGGCATTTAATGAAGTGTTACAACCAGGCTTGTCAAAGACAGGTGTACTATGCTTCTTCAACAGAGCATTTTCAAGTTCAGTCGATAAGAATTTCTTTAAACTGCCACTAAAGCAAGGTTGGTAATCGTATTTCACTAAGTCATCTTCATTTGAAACTTGGTATTGTTTGTTTGGATTTGTGGTAAAACTGACGAGACTGGACTGATAAAATGTATTGATGAGGTAAGCAAACCAGACCCACACAATGAGAATGTACTTCAGTATCATCATTCGTGGCCCAATTATATCGCGGCTGTGTAGTACTAAGTTGTCTAGTAGTTCCAATGCGACCTGCCCTATATCCTTTGCTTGCAGAAGAAATATCATCATAGAAGTGTACACAACAAATGCTAGTAGTAGCAACATCCATACCGTGGGATGGAATTCTTTGTACACGGTCTTCCAGGTGGGAACAAGAGGCGCAATCTTCACCACAAATTGTAACTCATCGTTGTAATCATGGTATCCACAGAGATAAGTAAATGCTTGAGCTCTTGATACGACCATCATCATTCCTCCAAATATTATATCAGTTTCATTGTTCTGTAACATTATCATGGGACCGCTGGCTGTCATATTTGGAAAGACGGAGGAATACAGATAAGCGTCGTAACTGTAGTTATAAATCACGTTGAATTGTTCCTTTTCACTGAGTACTTTAAATATGTATTCTTCTGTACCCGGTATGGTCTTTTTGTTTTCAGATTTTAGTGGATCGATGGTGAATGGAGGTCGATGTCCTAAAGATGCTCTGAATGTGCAGTTTTTAAGTCCAGTAACCAGTTTGTTTGGGTATAAATTTTCTGAAGTTTCGGAGCATAATCCGAAGTTGATGATATCGGTGTAATATCTCCCGCAGGCGTATTTATCAAATGGGTTGTACGTGTAGAGATGAGCATCGCCTGTACCGTTGATCACTAGAGTATTAATGGCACGAGATCTTAAGAGGACATCGAAGATGTCGCGGAGGTCACTCTCTTCTAAGGAGTCAATAACAATTAAGAATCGCCCGTAAGGATTCCAATAAGGATCCATCAAGAGATATTCAAAATTCGTCGTGAACGCAGTGACGTTTTTTGAAGTTATCAAATAGCCTCGATTCTCCAATTGTAGTTCTTGAGCTGGACTTCTGGTAACTATTGAAAGTATTTGCTTGGCGTGGATTACTTTTAGCAATTCTTCATCGTCATCTTCTATGCCTATGTAGGTGATTTCTGATAGTTCCATAAAGTATTCAGTTAAAATACTGCTAATACACTGTACCAAAGCTTCGTTTTTCATGTATTCTGAAGGTATTATTTGACTTTGTCCGATGTACAACATGAACAGCAAATAAAACGTGACTAGCATTCTGTAGCGTGAAAATGAATGTCAACGTTTTTTTAATTGTATATTGATTAATGCAATGTTCCATTAGTTAACAACGGCCTTAATGTGTTCGTGAATAATGTAAAACCATTTCTGGGTAGCTCGCAAAACTTTTTATTTAATTAGAACGACGTTTCTTTGCAGTTCCTGTTTGTCATCATTCTTTAAAAGATGCAAGTTTTCCCCACTCAGAAGTCGAAAGTCGAGACAGGTAAGGAAAGAGGGAACAGATTGCGATGATCCTTAATTTTTCTGACCAGGTTAGGAGGTCATGGCAGACTACTGTCCCACAATTGGTTTTTGGAAGAATCTATCCAATTTATTGTCACTTACACAAAATAGGAATTATCTGTGATCACTACAAGCGTTTTGATATACACATACGGGCTACAACTTTCCTGACTTTAGGCATAGGCAATCCCGAGTACTTATTAAAAACAAAGCACATCCAAAAGTGTCCTTGAAAAAGCTTGAACTTTGAGAAAAGTAAATTTATCGTTTAACTGAATGTCTTGCAAGTCTGATAACTGATCGACTTATGAAAAAGAATGAGCAATAGATAATCAAATTTAGATTTGGGTTTCTATTACATTGTCACAGTATAATCTAACTCATATCAAGTAATGTCACGTTGAGACACTGAATATCTTATTTACTCATAATTATGTGTGTTTTCAGCTTGATGTTATTTGGTCTTGTTACCTAATTGATTTATTATTCGGTATTCAATGAATAATTGATAACAAAATTTATTTTACACATTTTATGTATGTTTTTCTTTAGTAAAATTTATTGTATAATATATTATATTTTTTCTAGTGTCTCATGTTTAGAGAAAATAAAACTCATATTTTTTAATAAACTGTAATTCTTTAACAACTTATTTTTTAAATTTTACTTAATACAAAATATTTCACGAAAGGGAGGCGATTGATAATTTACAAAAATGATCAAAACTGTGTGATACCCTAAACACTGTGTTTTTTTTATGTATTAGATCGGCAAACGAGCAGATTACCTGATAGTAAGCAATCAGCGCCGCCCATGGACACCCGCAACGGAGGAGTTATGAGTGCGTTACCTACCTCTTAGGGGATTAGGGTTTTGGAGGTTAAGGGAGTGGGGAGGGATCGGGGGAAGGGAAGGGAAGGAATTATACCAGACTAAGTATAATCTTAAGTAAGTCTTCGTGTTTAAGTAATTGAGTAACAAACATCTATGCATCCAGACTTACAAATATTCGCATTTAGAATATGAGTAAGAATTAAATTATTTCATACACAACAAATTTTATGAAAAGGTATATTTGATAAAATTATTTCCTTTTATGACAATAGAAATTTTTTCAACTTATAACGCCGAATTGTAGGTACGAAGATTCCATCAATAAGGGTCATTCTTATAAGCATCAAAAAGTATGATAAATTATCTTTGACAAATAAGGCTCTCTAATATATTATTATACCTATGGCGTAGCGTGTTATTAGGCGACAATTTTTGTGTCAATTTGGGACTGGGCGTGCCATTATTATTTTTGATTTATTTCATGGTTATATATCACTGAGGATATTCATCAGTCGATGACATAGTTACTAATTAGGTAGCAACAACAGCTTATAAACAAAATAATGTCTCTTTTGCTTCTGGCTATTTTTACAGACTTCCAAGAAGTATGCAACTGTGTAAAGATGTATTTTTGTTGATATGTCGATTGAAATTGAGACTATGAGTGGTAAAGAGATTATGACTGTCAAATGTCGCTGTAGCGCTGAGACTCTCACTTTTCATGCATGTGGGTTCGAAAATATAGGTACTGTCTAAGACTATTTGAACACCACTGGCAACGAAGGGCGACGGAAACATCGAGATAAAACATTGAATTTAAAATTTGTAGTTGTACCTAAGTATGAAATGCCAAACTATCTTGAGCAAGATTTTTTCCATACTTTAAGCCTTTCAAAGTTCTTGCAACGGTGTTACTGTATGAACAATTACTTTCTGGGCATATTCAATTCAATAACGAATGTAATTGTAGCCATTGAGCAACCAAAAATATAGATCCTCCATGGAATAGCAAAACGTACTTGGAAGTCTTCTTTAACAAAATGCTGTTTTAAATCTCGAAGGTAGTTCATATCTTCAATAACTTTATCCACCAAACCAAGCTCCCTGAGGCGAAGAGAAGTCTGATGTAGCTGATGAATCATCGGAAACCCTTTATATAAGAATATGGAATACATTACTTTAGAATAAGGCTTTGCCAGTAACATAACCAAGTTATTTCCATAATCGTCCAAAAATACCTCCTCATTATACTCATACTGTCCATTCAACATGATAGAATACAGATCATTTGATTTTGTTACAGTTATAATACTTTCTACTAATCCGACACAACCTTCAATCCTTTTATAATTATCATCTGATTGTACGGACTCTATATAATATTTTTCCATCACGGAACTGAAGCATGGTTTTAGGCCATGACGAGCAATATCTTCTTCGTTGCTTATTTGATATTCACTGGGTGGGTTTGTTGTGAGGCTAACGAGGCCTGACTGATAGAACGAGTTCATCAAATACGCGAATAGAATCCATAGTATGAGGACACACTTTACTGACCATCGACTACTGATAGTATGCCCATGAAGCAACAGATTGCTAAAAAGTGTTAACACTACGTAGCTTTTGTCTTCTGTGTGCAGTAACATTATTACCAGTATCGAGTAGAATATAATAGTTACCAATAGTAGGATCCAAACATTTGTTTCAAATTCTAAATAAATATTCTTCCAAGGAGGTACACGTGAAGCTCGTTTAACCACAAAACGTATTTCGTCTGTGTATGCTAGATGGCCGTATACAAAGGAGAACGCCAATGCTCGAGACGGTGTTAGCAACAAACCACCCAATACGGCATCTGCTTCGTTATCTTGAACCTTTTTCAATGACCCAACTGCTTCCATTTCTGTAGACACAGATGGAATTTCTTCTACAGCAGCATAATCATTTATGATATTAATATCAAATTCAAGTATTCGTCCGATTAATTGAAATATGTAAGGCTCTACTCCATTCCGAAGTGGAGATGCCATGTTTGTGTCGTTCGTAGTTAGTATGGTGTATGGAGGCCATTGAGTTATTACAACATCGAATGTACAGTTCCGAAGCTGAGTTACAATATGTTCCGGGTAAAGATCGTAGAAGAAGGAGTGCGAGCATTTTCCATAGTCGATGATGTTGTCGTATCGTTTTCCACAGCCATAGTTATCGAAAGGATTGTAACCGAACAAATGAGCATCCTCAGTCGCATTCATAACAATCACATGACGTGAGTGCAGCTTCAGAAAAGTATCAAATATTATCTTTAAATCACTTTTCTTGAGATCCCTGATGATGATAAGAAATAATGCTAAAGGATTCCATGAAAATTCTCTAGTTACCTGAGGAAAATAATTTGCAATATAGTACGAAGTTTTGCTCGATATCAGGTACACTTGGTGGGGTATTATACTTTTCTTTGTTGGTTTTCTGGAAAGTAACGTTACAGTTCCAGCATCATTGATAGTTTTCAAGATTTGTTCATCTCCTTCTCCTCGACCTGAGTATGTGATCACTTTCAGTTCCGCATAATGTTCCCTGACCATATCTCTGACACATTGGATGATTTTTTCATTGTACAATGGACGCGGAATTTGTATTTTGAAACAATTTCCTTTGCAGAACAGTAGAAATATGAACAAGTACGTGATTAGCATTTTGCTGATTGAAACTGAAGCCTTTTTTGTTTTTTTATATGTTTCATATAATGGCTATTTCATTGTACCATTAATCATTTTTCAGAAGTATTTTCATAGTATAAGTGTGATGTTAATTGTAAGTTTTCATACATAATGGTTAATTAGACCGAACGATTGACAGCGTCTGACGCCCTATACCAAAACGGTAACAATTGTTGTATTGTGAGACCTTAAATGTTTTATTATATATAAATAAATTCAGCTTCATAATATTAATAAAAATATTTATTGTACCGTATAAAACATATTTCAAATGTAAATACTAAAACAGATATAATACATCCTGTAATATAAATGAACCAAGGTATTACAAATCTAATTTGAAGCGGTTTGTCATGGAATTTGTACTTAATCTCTCGCATATAATAATGTTCACGTAAACTTTTTTGAACTAAGCCTGCATCCTTAAATCGTATCGCGTTTTCCTGCATTCTCGCTGTAAGCGGAAATCCTTTGAAGAAAAACATGCTGAAAATAAACTTTGTGTATGGTTTACGGAAGTAAAACACAGTGGGCCGACCATATTTATCGAAGTACAGCTTTTTATGATAAACGTAAATTGATCGTTGAGAGAGTGTAAATAATTCATTAGACTCAGCTATCTTTGACAAGGTTAAGATTGGATATGGACAAATTTCATAATCTTTTGAGTACGAAACATTTTCTTCATCATTTATGTAAGTGATCATTCCTGGAAAAATACAGAGTTTGAGATGTTGTTTAGCTAACTCCTCTTCGTTAGTTATCTGATGTTCTTTTACTGGACTTCCAGTCATACTCATCAGGCTAGATTGATAGACGCTGTTCATAACATTTCCAAAACATACCCACATCATCAAGATGCATTTCACAGCAGCCCTTTCAGGCATTTTAAGGTTGTGGCAAAGTAAAGTGCCAAACAAATTCAATATGATACCAGTTTTGTCTTCAGCGCGGAGCAGCATTATCACTACTGTCGAGTATGATAGGAATACTAACAATATCATACACCACACTATAGGACTGAACTCCAAATAAACCAATTTCCACGTGGGAACATAAGAAGCTCTTTTAACGAAGAATTGTAATTCGTCTTCATAATCAAGGTACCCGTGCAAATATGTGAACGCATCTGCTCGACCGGAGGTAAGCAATGTGCTACCAAACATGACATCAGTTTCATTGTTTTGGAGTTTGGCCATT